GATAGAGCGCGAGAGAGTTGCGATGGTCACGCCCTCACTACTAGAAATCCTTTCATCTGTGATGTTTTGGGAATGACGAATTCAATTTCAGTCACTGAATATGGTTCATTAATGATGAAATTATGTAGAACGTCATGGATGCTTGGTTTGGCCGTCAGCCCATTTGTTCCTCTGTGACAAATTTGGAATTACCGTCATAGAAGGGTTCTGAGCTTCGTCATAGAAGTGATAGTCAATAGTTTCACCGTTGTGGTCCCACATGTCAGATATACATTTTCGTCATAAATGTGGAGTTTTAAAAAACCTGATATTTTGGCAGTTGTGGTCCCACCTGCCAGGTGTTTATTTTCGTCATAAAAGACAAATTTGAAAAAAATGTGCGGCGCGTGGGGATCGAACCCAGCACCTGCCGACTCAGAGTCTAGTTACCTTACCATCAGAGCACAATTTCGTTCATGGTAAAGTGTGGGAACTTATTTTATTATTGACTATCAGATCTTTCATATGACCCAAACCCAATCCAATCGTGTTGCGGTGGTGGATACACATCGAATCAGCGGGGTGGGAGGAGGTGCTCCGACGGCGGACCTCTGCGTCGACCATCTACGGCGAGCCTCTCCGGTGGGCAGCTCCAGCGGGCAGATCTACCGGCCTAGCAACTCCGGTGGTCATCTGAGCGGGGCGGGAGGAGGTGCTCCGACGGAGGCCCTCTGCGCCGGCCATCTACGGCGAGCCACTCCGGTGGGCAGCTCTGGCGGACTACTCTACCGACCTTGCTGCTCCAGCGGTCATTTGCTATGGGATGCGCCGGCGGGCAGCTGCAGCGGCGTAGCGTGCTGCTCTGGCGGGCAGCTGCTGCGGCGTAGCTGGTTCGGCAGGCAGCTCCTTCGGCCGGCAGTCACTATGGCTTCTCGGCTCCGGCGTACCTGCTACTGTTGCTGCTGCCTGCTCTAGCATACCTGCTGCTGTGGCTTCTCTACTCTGGCGTACCTGAGGTATTGTCCTCTCCCAAAGCTTGCAATTCAGTGGATTCGGTAGCTGTTTAGACATGGCTAATTAGAGGTAATTGTTACATTTTTATTAGATGGACAAAACATGGATTCGTGCTGCTCGGTTCAGTGATCAATTCAATGATGGCATTGATCAGTTTATGGCTTATGTTCGAGGTAGATACAATGCGGATGATGCTATACCTTGCCCATGTCGCAATTGTCTGAATCAGTCTTCATGGAGTCAAAAGGAAGTGTATGACCATGTGTATCTCTATGGATGGTCAGCTACATACACTAGGTGGGTACACCGTGGAGAAGCTTTTGATGCTGAGATTGTGGAACATGCAGAGGATGCAAATGAACCCGATGATCTTGTTGATGTGCTGCATGTGGATGAGCCTGACAATGAGGATGATCACGGTACGTCAGAGATGCTAGCTGACTTGTATGTAGCTGTACAAGAAGATGGAGAACGGCCTATGTTTGCGAAAGTACTTGAAGATGCAAAACATGCTCTTTGCCCAGGTTCTGTTCAGTCTATGTTCTCTTTTCTAGTGAGACTGCTACATATCAAGTCCTTCTATAGGATCAGCAACACAGCATTAAGTGTGATATTGAAGTTATTGTCAGGGTCATTCCCTAACTGTGGTCTTCCAGATTCATATGACAAAGCAAAGAGGTATCTCAAAGAATTGGGTCTTGGTTATGAGTTAATCCATGTCTGTGACAATAATTGTGTGTTGTTTCAGAAGGATCTTGCCAAAGCGGACAACTGCCCAAAATGCAAGAAATCTAGGTGGGTAGATGCAGATGGTGCCAAAAGGATTCCTAAGAAGATTTTGAGATATTTTCCTCTTATACCTAGGCTGAAGAGGATGTTTGCAAAAAAATCAACATCTGAGGAGACCCGGTGGCACAAGGATAAGTGGGTTCCTGTGTATAATGAAATGAGTCATCCAGCTGATGGCGAAGCCTGGAAAGACTTTCATGAGGTGTATCCAAGCTTTGCTTAAGATGCAAGAAACCTAAGGCTTGGTTTAGCTATAGATGGCTTCAATCCTTTCGGGAACATGAACACAACTTATAGCATGTGGCCTGTACTTGTAAGGGTATACAATCTTCCTCCATGGTCATGCACCAATGCATCCAACTGCTACATGTCATTGCTCATCCTAGGACCAAAGTCTCCAGGCAAGGACTTTGACATATTCTTACAACCACTCATTGAGGATTTGTTAAAACTCTAGGAGGGTGTCAACACTTATGATGCATTCACTAGCGAAAAGTTTGACCTTCGTGCTGCAGTACTATGGTGCATCCATGACTATCCAACTTTGGGTGTATTGTCAGGGCGAATTACCAAAGGCTACTATGCATGCATTTATTGCAACAGAGATCCATTGTCAAGGAGTCTTAGGAAAAAGATTTGTTACATTGGACACCGTCGCTACCTTCCAAAAAATCACAAGTGGTGAAGAAGCTTGGCCTTTGATGGACACCGAGAAAACTGGGTTGAGCCACAAATGCTGAGTATGGATGAGACATTGGAGTGTCTAGAGAAGGTAAAAGATGTGTGTTCTGGTAAGCATGATGGTAGCAAGAAAAGGAAGCATGGATAGAAGGACAAGGAGCCAAAATTGTTTAGCCGAAAGTCAGCTCTATGGGAACTACCTTATTGGAAACACTTGAAGCTGCCACACAATCTTGATGTGATGCATATAGAGAAGAATATATGTGATGCCCTTCTAGGCATAATACTCCGTCTTGAGGGCAAGAATAAGGATACAGTTAATGCAAGGCTTGATTTGCAGGATATGGGCATACAACCTGAACTGCATTTAGAAGAAGATGGTGGGAATTTAGTTTCCATGCCAGCAGCATGGTATGCCATGGAAAAAGAAGAAAGGGCTGCATTTTGTGGATTTCTAAAAAGTATTCGGTTTCCATATGGATACGCTTCCAACCTGACAAGATGCATTAGTGCAGATGGTTCCAAGGTGCAGGGCCTCAAAACCCATGATTGCCACATACTGCTCCAAAGAATTTTACCTGTTGGTCTCCGAGGACTAGTGCATAAGGACATATATGAAGCAGTTGGAGAGTTGGGTAAATTTTTCCGAGAGCTTTGCAGTAGGAAACTAAATGTTGATGTGATCAAACGTCTAAAGGTAGAAATCCCTGTGATACTATGCAAGTTGGAGAAAAATTTTCCTCCTGCCTTTTTGATGTGATGGTCCACTTGGCTGTCCACCTTCCTGATGAAGCACTCCTAAGAGGTCCTGTTCAATATGGATGGATGTACCCGATAGAACGCCAAATGGGCACTTTGAAGGGGTATGTGAGGAATAGGGCTAGACCTGAAGGATCCATCGCTGAGGCGTACATAGCTAATGAGGCCTTGACCTTTTGCTCAAGGTACATGGATGATGTTGTCACTAGATTTAGTAGGGATGATGACAAATGGGATCAGGGAGTTTCAGATAGTGACCTCTCTATCTTCTAGCTTGGTGTTAAACTCTTGGGAGCACACAGGCAGACATATCTTGATGACAAAGAATTTGACAAGATTTGTTGGTATGTGCTAAACAACTGTGATGAGGTAGAGCCATATTTAAGGTGAGTGCTTCTTTCCTAAATTGTGTGTGCTAGTAAACAACAATGCTAAACATGGGTGACCAATACATATTGCAAACTGTGTGTGCAGCAAGTTTAGACAACAACTAGAGGAAGAAGGTGGCCATGATGTTGAGAATAGGTTGGAAAAGGAATTTCCTGCTTGGTTTAGGAATCATGTAAGTGGTTTCATATTTATTTTGTGTGCAACAAGTTTTTTTTCATATTTTTCAAATCTTAACTTGTTTGGTGGTCTTATTAGATCAAGATGCTATGGATGGATAATCATGAAGATGTTAGTGAAGCCCTATATGCAATATCATGTCCTCCTTGCCTTAGAGTGAAGTTATGGGCATCATGCAGTGTCAATGGTGTTCGATACAACACTGTCGACCGTGAAAGACAAAGGTAGACACAAAATAGTGGTGTGCTGGCAGATGGAACACATAATAGTGTGCCGACTGAATTTTATGGTCAGCTCAAAGAGATTGTTGAGTTGAGCGACAACTCTAATTTGGAATCCATTCGAACTGTGGTACTTTTTCGGTGTGAGTGGTTCAGTCAAGATGGCAAAGGAAGAGTTGTTAGAGATGATGGCCTTTTTAGATCCATCAATGTGGAGAGGTTTTGATACAAGTCAGACCCATTTATATTAGCAACTCAATCAAAAAAGGTCTTCTATGTGCCAGACACACAGTTTGGTGAAAATTGGCGTGTTGTCCAGAAATTTGAGCATAGGAGTATGTATGATGTCATTGAAGCAGAATTGAGCGTTGTTCACCAAGATGAAGCTGGTTCTGATAATGAGCTTTTGGTGCAAGCTGATGATGATGATGATGGATTAGATGAGCTGCACGAAAGTAAACCCGCGTGTACATGGAGAGAAATCTTCTATTCTTTGGTAACTTACAAGATCTTATCAAGAGAGAAGGAAGAAGACCGGATGCGCATACGGTGACTCTAAAGATTGTGAAGATGACACTATATTGGAGTATTTTAGTGAAAATGACAGGGATCCCATGGAATGTAATGATGATGATTAGCTTCATTTTCTTGTATTTATAGCTTCATTTTAGTGAACATTTAATAATGTTGACTCTTTTGTTGGCTTGACACTTTGCCTTTTTTGGATATTGATGTTCGGAATTGTAATGGTCATGTATAACACATTTGTAACAGCATGCTATCAAGGACTTCTTAATTTCTGTCCATTTTTAGCAGTCATGCAACAGCTTGCTATCAGGCACTCATTCTCAATTTGTGGCCATTTTCAGCAGTCATGCAACAGCATGCTATAAATTCATGCATTGAACAACTCATGCATTCAGAACAACAATTCATACATTGAACAACTCATACATTGACTAAACTAGTTCATACATTGACATAGCTATTTCACAGCAGCTGTGGTTTCATGGTCTCAGGACCTTTACTAAACATGGCCACCAGAAGTGCCAAACACATGACAAGAAAAATCATTGCACGACAACAGGCCTTGCCAACTTTACTAAACACCAGCTTGCCCTGCACCTCCTTGGCCTCCTGATCCTTGGCAAGAACACTAGCCTTCTCCTTTTCCTTCACCAGTTCAGCAATCTTGGCTTCCTGATCCCTGGCAAGTACAGTAGCCTTCTCATTCTTCGTCACCAGTTGGGCAATCTTGGCCTGTGCTTCATCAAGCAAATAACTCAGTTCACTATTCTCCACCTCTAGAGTCTGGTTCTTGGTACGTAGGGCCTTAACTGCATCTCACAAATCAATAAGGATTTCAATCTGATGATCTGTTGGCTTCGGATCCAACCACTCCCAAAAAGTGCATCCACCATCCTTGCATCCACAACCAATTTGTAGTTTGTCAGGTAGACAGTTTCTACAATTCAAATCAACCCATCTTAACAATTGGGGAGGATGTAAATTGAACTCACCCGATATTTGTAGCAGCAATGGTACCTCCTTCCTGGATTCCCATCACTCCATGAGATCCACTGGGGACTCTTGCGACCGCACTCGCAGTTGATATCCGGACTGTATGAGTATGGCGGGTGGCGATAGGGAATTAGGGAGGAGTTGGGGGACCGGACCCCGTAGCGCTCCATGGAGCTCCTCGATGAGCTTGATTCGGCTGCCATGGAGCTCTAACCCTAACCGGGAAACGCGAGGCGGCGGCGCGTGGTGGCCTATTGAGCGGCTGCGTTGCGGCAGGTCTTGGCCGATGGAGCGGGTGCGGTGGCGGAGGATACATACTGTATTGCAAGCGTGGGGGCGGGGGCTCACTGGTGGAGTGGGTGCACGGCGGTGGGTGGTGGCCAGCGGCCGACAGTGGGGGGGGTTTGGGGTACGGGTGGGCGAGGATTTGGGGGAAGGAGGAAATTTTAGATCGTTGCCTTCTGAGACTGATAGGATAGGCCCACCAAGTTAGCTCTGAAGCTGGCTGGACTCGGTTTAGCTTGGGAGTCAGGCTGACGGGTGGGTCCATGACGGTCAAATGGTGGTCAAACCCATGATTTCAGTTGATTTTTAAGCAAATTTCAAGCGAATTTTTAATGAAATGTTATGTGGTACATTAATGAACAACTTTTGTAGACCTCTTACAATAATCTTCATCGTACCATGCATTTCAAGTGTATAAGTGTATAGCAAGCTTGTATGCAAGTGTTATGAGTGAAGTAACCAAGCTAGCTATGTCATCTAATGTATATGTAACCAAACTAGCTATGTCATCTAATGTAGTGCATACCTATGTGTCTTGCTATAACAAAGAATGTATATGATATTATGTAGTGCATAGTTTGAGAAGTGCATAGCTTATGGTAAGAAGGGATCATATATATAAGATCTTATGAAGTTATAACCAAGCACATAGATGTATATGATCTTATCAAGTGAACCAAGCACAAACTTTACATACTAAGTTCTTGTATGTATGTGTGTTGCTAGGATCTTATGAAGTGTTAAAATTCATTCATGCACACATTATGGATTATATATGTATAATGCACACAAAGTAAGGCCACATGTATATCTCCCTATAATTTGAGAGCACACCGTTATCATCTTACACATTTACTTTGTTAATCAAAGCTTGTTTTCATCCTTCACACAATTATCATCTTTGATGATTATATAATTCGTACTTGTGATGTATCAAAGAAGGTGACAAGTAATAAAACGTTTACCATTGTGGATTACTATATAGTACTATAAACCATCATCACAAACAATGGAAATATGATGTCAAATTTCTAGAAACAAATATCATTTTAGTCCATAAAAGCTAGAGAAAAGAACCATTTTGTTTTGAGAAGAAAACACAAAAAAACGAATCCACCTCCCGCCTCCTCATCTTAGTTTCGGTCGTTGACGCGCATCCCCCGCCAAAAATTTGGGCGTCACTGCGAAAATCCTGTACTACCCTCAACCATCACTCCTCCTCATTCACTACAGCAGGGACAAGATAGTAACTTCGCTACAGGCTATATATGCCTCATTTCACTCCACCGCCGCCACTGCCCTCAACTCCACACCGCTGCCGCCATTGCCCTCACATCCACTCCGTCGCCGCCCGCGTAGATCCACTCCGCCGCCGGTCCCCTAGATCCACTCCGCCGCCGCTCTCAGATCCACTCCGCCGCTGCCACCGTCGCCGCTCTTAGCTCCACGCTGCCGTCGCCGCTCTCAGATCCACTCCGCCGTAAGAGGGACAATTGATGGAGCCATGACGGAGGAGCCGTACGACTACATCACCGGAGACACCACGACGACGACCACGACATCCACTCCAGTAGAGACACTCGCCTTCAACAATGCCTAAACGGCCCGTAAAACGCCTCAGCCCCCAAGCCCAGGTACTTCCGAAAGCCCCCCAAGCCTAGGTTCTTCTAGTTGAGTAGGTAGGGTCTAGGGTTCTATGGTTTATGGGTTAGGGTTAGGGTTGGGGTTTAGGTTTTACAGTCTAGGGATTAATTGGACTAAAATCTGTTTAAAATAGGGTACTATGAAAAGCTACGGGATTTGCAAGCCCGGAGAACAAGAAGAAGATGGAAGCATTGAGTCTCTGTACCTTGGCTTCTTCTCTTCAAAATAGCATTGAAAAAGAAAGTTCTCTGAATCTGGGCAAGCAAAGAAACAAGAAAGTTCGTGGGGAGGGGTCAGATTCATCCGAATATCTTCCTGGAGCTGAAGAGGGCTAGGAAGAAGAAGATGAAAGTGTCTTGGTGGGGTGTCTTTACATTATGCTGTTTGTTGTATTTTGCGAGACTTATTTTCATGCAGGTTCTAACAATAGATTTGTTTACCCTTCTATATTAGGAATCTGATAGCAGCAACAAGTGGGCTTTAGGATCGAAGAAGAAGGCCAAGATGGCTCCAGGTGGCACGAAAAGAGTGAGGGTAGCTGCAGTGAGTGAGACAACTCCTGGAGTTGCAACAAGGTCTGGAAAGAAGTACACCACCAACCACCCAGCAGTTGTGGCTGAGGAGCTGCCACTAGAGAAGAATGCCGTAGCCACTGGGGGACAAGATGAAGAAGAACCTGCTCTGGACTGGTCTACTTTTGATGACCCAATAAATGCACAATCAAATGAAGCTGAGGCCTCAGAAGAGTTAGAGATTGTTCCTCAAGGCAAGTAACAGACCAGCTTCCTCACATTCTTTGCTTTACTACTTGGACTACTCTAATTCTATAAGTGCCAACAATGTAGGTAAACAACGTGCTCCAAGAAAACCAAGGCCGCCAACAAAAGGCAAATTGCTTGACAATATGACACAATCTATGGGAAGAAGGTTGCCAATTGAAATTCTGTGAAGGCAAGAGGAGGCTAGAGAAGCCTGCATAAGCCGCTAAGCTAGCTTTCGAGGTTGGCCTTATCACTAGGGAAGAACATGCCCATTCTAACTCCTTTGGAAACACTACAATAATGATGAAAGCCAATTGAAAGAATTCATGGGAAAGTTGTCTGTAAGTAATTTGATACCTTGCATATGTATTTGGTACTTCATATAAGTTGCTATATCAAATGCTAATACCTAAATCTGATGGGTGATTGACTTTTGCAGGTTAGGTTGGCAGTTGATGACAAGCATGAGCCAACAGTGAAAGCCTACAACAATATGCTCCAAAGTGTTGTACGCCAGAGTAGATATTTGTTGAAGAAGTACTTCAATGGTATACCAGCTAATGAAGTCAGAACAACTTCCCCTGTTGCTAATCTTACTGATGAGCAGTGGCTTGAACTCGTGAAGTTGTGGTCCAGTGCAAAAGCAAAGGTACGATGATAGTCCAAACAACAAACTCTACTGTTTTATCTCTGTGTCTGAAACTTACATGTTTGCCTTATAGGAACGACTGAGAAAAACAAGAAAAACCATGCTAAGGTCAGGCACCATCAAGCGACGGGATCTCGTAGCTACATCTCACATTTGTATGCATATGTAAGTGCTACAACTCTGGTTCAATACATTGTATCTTATGAAAACATGCATATCTATTTCCTATAAATTAGTCTAGATACAAAAGCTAATTTTCCTGCATTTCACGCTTAAAATTAATCTGAGAGGGAGAAAACCAAGGATAGAGAAGTGGATGCAAAGTGGAGATGTTCAAGGAATGCCATACCAAAGAAGAAGAAGGGCATGAGCGAAGAGGTCAAAGAAAGCAGTTTAGAAAGTACTGCATATGTGATTGATGGACGTGGTATATATGTCAATTTTGCTCATGTACGATTCTTCATTGGATGGAATTAGTACATGGAAGGATGTTCATATGCTTAAATGTTGTGTGTGGATGGTTCTATCTATGCTTATGAAATGGAAAATTTTACCTATGTGCTTCTTTGGATGGGATTTGTACATAGACAAGATGTTCATAAGTTTACACCTATATATGCAATCATATGTTCTTTGTGCATGGTCCGTGCTTGTCAAATCGAAAGTTGTTCCTATATAATTCTTTGGATGGATTAGTACATAGACTAAATGTTCATATGTATACACTTATATGTGAAGTCATATGTTTTCGTGCATGGTCCTATTGTTGTTGTGAAATGGATAGGATATTCATCTCTGATGTGCCATGTGAAGTTATTGTTAACCGTGTTCATGTACTTAAACATATATACATCAATATGTTTGTGATGATTTTCATGTCTGCTTGTGAAATGGACTCCATAGTTATCTTATCCTTTTTCCACCTGTTTGTTGTAGGCTGCCATGGAAAATATGTTGGCCCAGCCTGCTCAAGATTTAGAAACACCAAGATCTAGTACTGAGATTGTCTCCAAGGTTCTCTCACAAACTAGTGCAGCCTCTACATTCCTCAAGAATGCTGGTATTGAAACACCAGTAAGCAAATCTGCTGCATCAGCTGTAAGAGAAGCACAACTAAGAGAACAGGTGCAGGCCAAAAAGCAACGGGCTGATCTACTTCAAGAAGAATTGGACTACCTGAAGAAGAAAGCTGAAGAAATAGAAGAATCAATGGCCAAGACCCAAGAAGAAGTGCGCAAGGCCCAGCAAGAGATGGAGGAGTTCAAGAAGAAACAAGAAGCTAATGATCTGTTACTTCAGCGCATCTTGAACCTCAACTTAGGTAATCGAGCTACTTAGCTTGCTCCTGTGCAGCTCGGGTTCCTTGGAGTGCCATGGAGTGCTGCTGAGCAGTGGAGTGGTGGTGCTGTTGGTTCTCATAATAAGTTACTAAACTTGGTCTATCAGTTATGTTGCATGTGAACTTGTCTATGGTTTGGTACCTTTGCTTTGGAACTTGGTATGTTGGATGTGTGTGAACTTGTTTCCCGTGTTAGGGAACTCTGGTTGTATTTGAACATAA